GTTGACTTGTATGATTTCTGTTATGTTGCCATTTGCGCTTGTGATGGATAAAGCATTGCTTAAAGTGGTTTTCATTTGAATCAAGGTAGAAGCCATGCTGTACTTCAGAATGTAATTGATGAAGAAATAAAACTTATTTTATTAAACTTGAAAAAAAAATGAATATATGATTAGGTATTATTGACATGACAAGAGTCCAGAATAAAAGCGGCATAGTAAAGTGGCCTGGGTTGGGTGGGTACGTTGTATAACAATAAAAGAACTTTTTTTCCAAAAAAAAAAAAGCAAACTGAGGTGGGAGAGGGGACACGAAGGAAAATGTGCAACAATGAATGAATGGAAATCCAAGTTCCTTATAAACTTTCATTCAAACAAACGGCGAAACAAAAAACAATATGTCTGAACCCTTGTCATACCTTATACCATCTTCATCATCTCTGACACACTTGAGGGCGTTGCTGCAGTCATTGTGTCAATCTATCTTACTGAACATCTTCTACTCTTACACTAACTCTTCATTTATCCAAGTATGATGTTTCTTTCCGAGTAACAGCCTTTCCTAGCAACATTCCCAAACTAAGTGAGGAGAAGGTTCACCATCCTAGCTATTATGGGATATATGATTAAGTATTATTGTCACGACAAGAGTCCAGAATGAAGGTTGCACAGTAGAGTGGACTTGGGAGGAGGGATTTTAAAACAATGAAAGAATTTTTCTTTTACTTTTCAAAGAGAAGAGCAAATGGGGGGGGGGCTTGGAGAAAAGTGCACACAATGAATGAATGGAAACCCTAAGTCTCTATAAACTTTCATTAAAATTAATTAAAAAATAAAGAAAGATGTATTATGGTTACAATTTTTCTAAGACAAAACTATTTGTTCTTCTTGAAATCAACATATATAATATATATATAGGGTGCTAAGGAGCCACATTTTCTTCATTCTGGATTTTTATGTCTCTTAGCTATTGCATTTTATAATTATTGCTAGGAATGAATCAATCACCTAGCTGTAGTGAATCCATCTATTTTGTGATGCTAATGTTTTGTTTCTCAGTGCTCCAGTGCGATCTTTAGATTCTCTTCTGAGATCTCTTTCTGTATTTTCTTTCCCCTCCATTTTTAATGAACTTTCACTTTGTTCATGGGTATCATCCCACAACTCATTTGGGATTTAACCCCTGGTGTTCAATGCCTCAAATCTTTAGGGGAGCTCTGGTGGCCTAGTGGCAAGGAGCTGCAACTACAATCCCAGAGGCGAACGGTTCGAATCCACCAGATGCTCTGCCGAGTAAGGAGGGACAATCTCCTCCTGTACCAGTCAGATCTGATTTGACGGTACACGCACACAAAAATAATAAAATAAAATTAAAAAAAAATCTTTTCTTAAGATGACCTTGAAATTCAGATATGATTCAAGATCACATATTGGTTCCTATGGAATTATTTTAATTTTCTTTGGCCTAGGATTTTGAATATTTTTCTCACATACCCTGGGCACATGTCCAGGAGAGACTGTGCTCAGAAAGGAAGAGGGACAGTACAGGAGAGGACGACCCTGAATGAGAAGGATTAATATAGTAACTGGGGAAATGGAGATTGATGTGTTGGAATTAGTGGGACTGGCTCAGGACAAGGAAGGCTTCAGACCTGCTGTAAACAGGGTCACTATGGGTCACAGGTGACTCAATGGCACATAACAACAACAACAATTGATGATTGGAACCACAGTCCACCCTTAGCCTAGTTTTGACTGCTCAAACTGATCTTTTCTACAAATGTGGTCAATCTGATTCCCATGCAGTGCATCAGGTGAAATCCATGTGTAAAGTCGTCATTTGTGTCTACTAGAAGAATGTGTATTTATGCTTTATCGATTATTCAAAAGCATTTTACTCTGTGGATCATAAAAAGTTGTGACTGACATTGAGAAGAACGGGAATCCCAGAGGACTTGGTACTTGGAAGGGTGGACGGTCAGTGAAGGAAAGAAGACCCTCAAGTAGGTGGAGTGACATGATGACTACTTCAATGGGGTCTTTTTTGTCAGGAAGTGTGAGGATAGCACAGGATAGAACAAGGTTTAGATATTTTGTTCATGTGTTGCTATAAGTCATATTCAATTCAAAGGCATCTAATACAAACAATAACAATGTTTTGTTTTATTTATTTCCCCCAGCCCCTATTCTTTTCGACCTGTATTGTTTATCAGAGTGCCTTATCTTTCCTTCATTAAAGATTTGTCCTAGAGAGGGTTAAACCAAGCTGCTCCTTGGAGACAAGGATTCTGAAGCTTCGTCTGACATACTTTGGACATGTTGCAAGGAGGGATCAGTCCTTGGAGAGAGATGTCATGCTTGGGAGGGTGGAGGGACAGCGCAGGAGAGGAAGATTCTCAATGAGATGGATTGAGTCAGTGACTGGGGTATTGGGGTTATGTGTGTCAGAGACAATAAGATTGGCACAGGATTGAGCAGGGTTTAGGGCTGTTTTCCATAACATTGTTTTGAGTCGAAGGTGTCTGGATGGCACATAACAACAATAATAAACAACTGTTGTTTTAATATTTACTGAATCTTTATTCTTTTGTTGTTGCTGTTGTTTGGTGAGAAGTTTTGTTAATTTCCTTAGATATAAAGCTGTAACTTCTCAAATTTAAAATAATCCACTCTGTCTTATTATTGCTTTGACTTATTTGCAATTTCTGTGGTGACATTCTATTTTGTTGTTGTTGATTGAAACTGATACTACTTAAAATTGATGATTTTTTTTTCTATTTTCATTCATATAGATGCATTTCATTTTTTATACTCCTATGTTTGGTTATCTGAAACCTTCAATTTGACATTTAAAAAAAATAAATGTGGTGTTTATGTAATTTCTTTTAAGTACTGCTTATCTGAAATTTTTTTCAGAGTTTTGTTTTTTGTCTTGCTTTCTTGTTTGTTTAGTTAAATAAAGAGTGGATAGAAGAAAAATAGACTTATATAATGAAAATTAATCATGAACTTGTAGAAGATAGCATATCTGAGGTCAGTGGTACACAGTCATGGAAGCTGATGAATCCACCAGACAGACTTCTGGTTCAAGCCAAGGATTAAATAAAGATGATTAGCTAGAGGAAAAATTCTTTACAACTTTGAGAAAAACAAGCCAGTGACACTGGATTTCCTTACATTTTCAAAGCAAGTCTCACCTCTAATAAAACTCCCTCTCATCTATATGTGAAGCACAATATTCAGGAGACTGGACTTTATGGGAAGCAATGTAATATTGTTGTTGCTGTTGTTGTTATGTGCCGGCGAGTCACCTGCGACTCATAGCGACCCTATGTACAACATATGAATGTAATATTAGGATTGGAAAAAGACTCATCAACAACCCACGTAATGCAGATGACACAATCTTGCTTGCCATAATTGATGAAGATCCTGAAGTATTTGCTGCAGAAGGTCAAGGACTGCAGTCTTCTGCATGTATTATAACAGAAGTTATCAAAAATTAAAAGGAAACAAATAAAAATTAAAAGGAAACAGAATTGTGAAATGGTTTAGTGTGAAACTACAGATAGGCAAGATAAAAAGAAATCAAATTATTTCTAAAACTTCAAGTTTAGATAATAATTACTGTATTACTTGCTGTTCTTGTTGTTAGATGCCATTGAGTTGACTTTTTCCACAGATAGCATCAATCAATTCCCATTTATGCTATTAAGTGAAGTCTGCATGTTAACTCTCCCCTGCACTTCTATGTTTTTAAAGTTATTTACAATGAAAAACATTTTAAGAGAGTTTTGATTTCATTTTAAAAATAATTACCTGAAAATGACATTTTAGAAAAGAAGTTAAATGTTATTTTGAACATGTTTATATATCTCTTTTTATTATTTTATTATTATTTGTGTGTGTACTCTCAAATCAGGTCTAACTGGTACTAGAGGAGATTGTCCCTTCTTCTCCAGCAGAGTATCTAGTGGATTTTAACCATGCACCTCTGAGATTGCAGTGCAGTTTCTTGCCACTAGGCTACCAGAGCTCCCCCCATGTTTATATATCTTAAAGTGAAGATTTTATTTATTTTCTTTAAAATGATGCGTTTAAGAATAAAATCTTGTATACTTTTTATGTATTGTCAAGTCAGAATTGATTCACAGCTGACTCTTCAGGGTTTTCGGAGTCAGTAAAGTGCCCGGGAATTTATGGTTCATCTTTCTCCATCAGAGCAGCAAGTGAATTTGAACTATGTGCCTTTGAGTTAACAACAGAATTCTTTCAATTAAGAAAAATACTTGTATTTTAACATACATCACTTAGACATAGGTAAAGTTGTAGCTCTGAGATTAGAAAATATACAAGAGAAAAGTGAACTGTAACAAAAAATTTTGGTGAACTATTTATTACAGAAACAAATATCAGTTAATAGAGTGAAAAAATGAAAACTTAGTTATCAGATATTGATAATTATTAACCCTTAAATCCGTGTATTTTATTAGATCATTTAGGCATCCATCCATTAAATTTAATCCATTAAAATTTCCTTTTTATTTGTTGACTATTTTCAAAATGTGACTCGCCAACTCGAAGTTTTCCTAAGAGTTCACTTTATATCAACAAAGTAATATTTATATTAAGTTCAATACAATTATAAATACTAGATTTTTCTTCCCCAAATGACGTTTTTATTTTCATGAGTATATATTGTATTATTTTTGTTGTTGTTGATGATGATTACCTGAGTTGAGCATGACTCATAATGACCCTATGAACAAAAGACCTGAAGTCTTTCTATAACTATTAATATTTACCAAAGTTCATAGAGTTTCCAGAAGCATGTTGTTTAGGAAGTGGATGCCACTCCTACCTCTAAACCTGCCTTAAACTGGGAGCTCCACTGAACACTGCCCACCATGGGTAACCTTTACGAAATTTGACACCCCAATGGGACAGGTTCAGCATCACAGCAACTCTAGATTATTTCAGTACAACATATTGACAGAAGGGTACTGTACCATTAAGAAGAATGCTCCTCCTGAACATAATAACAACCAATTTTAAATACAAAGGCCCTCCCTGGGGAGGTCTTGTTGACTGTAAACAAGAGGCTTAAATAAAAAAAAAATCAATATTGATTGTTGTTTTTGTTATGTGCCCTTGAGTCACCTGGGACACTATGTGCAGCAGTTCTGAACCCTTTCCTGTCCTAACCCAACCTTACTAATTCCGACACACCAATCCCCATTGCCCCAGATACTATATCAATCCATATCATCTGGGATATTCCTCTCCTGCACTGTTCCTGTACCCTTCAGAGCATGATGTCCTTCTCCAAGGATATGTCTCTTCTCACCATATGCCCAAAGTAGGTGAGGCAGAGCTTTAAAATCCTAGCCTCCAAGGACAGATTTGGTTTCACCCTCTCGAAGACACACCTATTTGTTTTCTTGTCAGTCCATGCTATGTTCAAGACTCTTCTCCAGCACAAGAACTCCAAGGCATCTATTCTTCTTCTGTCATCTTTTTTCATTCTCTAGCTCTCAGATGCATGGCAAGTGATCAGAAATACAATATCCAGAATCAGACATAATTTAGTTCTCAAACTGACCTCACTACTCCTCAATAATATGGTGAGGTCTCTAACTGAAGATTATCTCAGTGCAATGCATCTCCTTATTTCCTGACTGCTAGTATCAAGTGTGCTATTTGTGGATCCAAGGAAGATGAAGCTGTTGACAGTTTCAATCTCCTCTCCAATAATGATGATGTTGTCTATCAGTCCAGTGGTAAGAAACTTTGTTTTCTTGACATTGAGATGCAGTGCATATTGAATACTGCATTTCTTTATCTTCTGTAACAAGTGCCTCAATTCCTCCTTGCTTTCAGCAAGCAAGGTTGTGTCATCTGCATAACACAGCCTATTGGTGAGTCTACCTCTAATCCTGATGCCACATTCCTCTTCAGAGTCCAACTTTTCAGATAATTTGCTTAGGATACAGACTGTATAGGTATGGAGAGAGACTATAACCCTGACAGACTCTCTTCTCAGTTTTAAACCATTCAGTGTTCCCTTGCTCTGTTTGAACAACAGTCTCCTGGTCCAGGTATAGGTTCCACATGAGCACAATTAAGTGCCCTGCCATTCGCCTTCTTCTTAATGTCAGCCACAACTTGTTATTATTTACACAGTAAAATGCCTTTAGATAGTGAATAAAGCACAAATAAACATTTTCTGGTATGCCTTACTTTCAGCCAGGATCCATCTGACATAAAAAAAGTCCTGTTGTCATGCATAGCCTCTACTAAATCCTACTTGAATGCCTGGAAGTTCCCTATCTGTATACTGTTCTAGCTGTTTTTTAATTATCTTCAGCAGTATTTTGCTTGCATGTTATGTTTATGATATTGTTTGATAGTTTCCACATTCAGTTGGATCACCTTTCTTGGGAATGAGAACAAACTAGGACCTCTTCCAATCTCTGCCTAGACCAAGAACATGTTGTCTGAGCCAAGCAAGAGAACACCGCATGGTTTAAAATAAGAAAGGGTGTGTGTTAGGGAAGTATCCTTTCTCCATATTTATTTAAACTGTATTCTGAGCAAATAATTCATAAAGCCAGATACTATGAAGCAGAATGTGGCATTAGAATTAGAGAAAGTCTCATGAACAACCTATACAATGCACTAACACAACTTTGCTTGCTGAAAGCAAAGAGGATATGAAATGCTTGAGGTAGAATATCAAGAACTACACCCTTTGGTTTGGATTATATCACAGTACCAAGAAAAAAAAAGTTCTCACTACAGGACCAACAGTCAACATTATGATAAATGGAGAAAGGATTAATGCTGTCATTGATTTAATCTTCTTTAGATCAATACCAACAATCTAAGTACCACCAGTCAAAAATTTAAAAAGATGCATTAAGTCCACTATCAAGACACACTGCAAAACTAAAGAGCAATATCAGTTTAAACACTAAGATTTTCCTAATTTAGACCATGGGCTTCTCAATCACGTGTTACATATTAGAATTATAGACAATGAATAAGGACGACAAAAAAAGAATTGATGCCTTGGAGTTGTGGTATTGGAGATTACTGAATATTACATAGACTACAAAAAAAAAAAAGATTAATCTTGGAAAAGTGAAGCCAGTGTGATCTTCGAAGGCAAAGATGGTGAAACTCATCTTTTATACTTTGGACATGTAACTAGGCAAGGCTATTCTTTGTAAAGGAACATCATTCTTGGAAAGATAGAGGGTCAGCAAAAGAGAGAAAGACTTCCAATGAAATGGATTGACACAGTAACTTCAGAAATGGGCTCTGGTGTGTCAGAGATGATAAGGATGGTGCAGGATAGGACAGGGTTTGGGGTCAGCTGTTCTTAGGGTCTCTGCAAGTCGTACTTGACTCAATGGCACCTAACAACAACAACAATGTGAAAAATGGGCACTAGCTTAGTCAATTATATTGTCTAATGGAGCTTGATAAGTAATCACTTAAATATGTTTCTCTTGTTGCACATTCATCCTTGCGAGGCTGTAATGTACCTAAAGTTTTAAATGTGATAAATTTGGATAGTCTGAAATTAAGTAAATTAATCTGAGGTTACAGAATCAAATGGAATTTTCCAGGGAAGGTAAATAATTATTTGAGGATTTGATATATTTCCAGTATTTCTGTTCAATTTGGTTTCATTTCAGTATAATCTTAGGAAGACTGATATAGTCAGTTTTTAATAAATGTCAAAATTTATTTAATATGTATATACAGAAATTTGAAGACCAACTAATGTTTGATCAGTGGGGAGCACATTTTAAAATTCAAAAACTGCAATTATCTCAGATAAAATTACCTCATTCTAGTTTCAAGGATTTAAGGAGCAAACACACCCCAAGGATTCAATTGTTCTTGGAATAGATTTTATTTACTTAAACAATTAAGTCTTTATTCTCTCAGGCACTGGCTCCAAGAAGACAATGTTATAGATTTATTACAAGCCTTGGAGTCTAAATAAAGGTAATAAATGTAAATATATGTGGACAAAACATACAAGTTTGGGGCATGATTCAAACTAAATGATAGTTTAGTAAGTCAGAATACTAAGATTCACTACTTAAATTTTTTTATATGAGAGTACAAATAAAATTTACGACATGAGAATGGATAGGAGCTCTGTTGGTCCTTGTTGTTGTTGTTGTTATGTGCTATTGAGTTGAGGTTGACTCACAGTGAATGACCCTGTGACCAACAGATCTGAATCCTGTCCTGTCCTGGGTCATCCTCACAATCTCTGGCATACTTGAGCCTATTGCTACAGTCACTGTGTCAGTCAATCTGAACAACTTCCTCTCAGTCACCAAGGCTCCACCTTTCCAAACATGATGTCCCTCAGTAAGGAGGAGCCTCTCCTAGCAACATACCCAAAGTATGTTAGAAAAAAACTTTGTTAATTTTGCCACCAAGGAGCTCTCTGACTACACTTTCTACAAGACTCCAGTCTATTCGTTCTTTGTGCATTCCACGAGATATTAAAATACAGTTCAGCTGTATCAATTCTTATGTCATCCTTATTCATTATCCAGATCTTAGATGTGTAGCAAGGATTGAAAATACCATGGCCTGAGATTTAGGTATCCCGTATTCCTCAAAATGACATCATTGCTACTCAATAATTATGAGCGGTCTCTGACTGCAAACTTTCCCAGTACAATATTTCATGATCTCCTGAATGTAACTAGTGTATTCATTATAGTTCCAAATAAAATAAAGTCATTGACAGTTTCAATCTTTTCTCCATCTATATGATGTTGCCTATTGACTGGTGAAAATTTTTGATGTCTTGATATTAAGATGCAATTCACATTTAAGGCTGAATTCTTTTTTCTTCTGCAGCTAACACTTCAAATTCTTATCACTTTATCAAGCAAAGTTCTGTTATCTCTATAATGTAGATTACTAATGAGTTTCCATCTAAGCTTGATATTCTTTATGGAGTCCAGCTTCCCAAATAATGCTCAGCATACACATTGAAGGATGGAGAAGTGATATAACCTTGACACATACTTTTCTCAATTTTAAACTATGTAGTGTTCCATTTCTCTGCTCACAGATCAATCTCTTTGTCTAGGTATAGTTTTCATATAAGCACAATTAAGTGTTACAATGGTCTCACTTTTTTCAATTTTATCCATAATTCGTAATGATCCGTATAGTCAAATACCTTTGCAAAATCAATAAAACACAAATCGACATTCTTTTGACACTATTTACTTTTAACCACTATATATCTGATAACACTATTTACTTTTAACCACTATATATCTGATATCTAAGTGAGCAGAAATGTGTGCTGTTAACCCAAACACCTTTTTTTATTGTGTACTGTACAGTTTTAACCAACCCATAGTGGAGTCTCCAGCAAGGTTTTCAGAGGCAGTAAATTGCCTGGGAGTTGATTACTCATCTTTGATCTGTGAAATATTTAGTGAATTCAAACCAT